ATTCGCCACAGCATGTGTAACCATGGCACCATTGTCCACAGTATCTGTAACCATGGCACCATTCTTCACAGTATCTGTAACCATGGCATCATTGTCCACAGCATCTGTAACCATGGCACCATTGTCCACAGCATCTGTAACCATGGCACCATTGTCCACAGCATCTGTAACCATGGCACCATTCTCCACAGCATCTGTAACCATGGCACCATTTTCCACAGTATCTGTAACCATGGCACCATTGTCCACAGCATCTGTAACCATGGCACCATTCTCCACAGCATCTGTAACCATGGCACCATTCTCCACAGTATCTGTAACCACGACACCATTCTCCACAGTATCTGTAACCATGGCATCATTGTCCACAGCATCTTTAACCATGGCACCATTCTCCACAGCATCTGTAACCATGGCACCATTGTCCACAGCATCTGTAACCATGGCACCATTCTCCACAGTATCTGTAACCATGGCACCATTGTCCACAGCATCTGTAACCATGGCACCATTCTCCACAGTATCTGTAACCATGGTACCATTCTCCACAGCATCTGTAACCATGGCACCATTCTCCACAGCATCTGTAACCATGGCACCATTGTCCACAGCATCTGTAACCAGGGCACCATTCGTCACAGCATCTGTAACCATGGCACCATTCTCCACAGCATCTGTAAACATGGCACCATTCGCCACAGCATCTGTAACCATGGCACCATTGTCCATAGCATCTGTAACCATGGCACCATTGTCCACAGCATCTGTAACCATGGCACCATTGTCCACAGCATCTGTAACCATGACACCATTCTCCACAGCATCTGTAACCATGGCACCATTTTCCACAGTATCTGTAACCGTGGCACCATTCTCCACAGTAGCTGTTCAAATACACAGTCTATTCAACCATTTCTCATTTGAAGTACCACATTTTGCTCATGTTATTTGTTAATATTCAGATTATCAATATAAAGAAATTGGTTTTTATGCTTTGATATATATGATTAAATAAGTTTTATTTCTTAAAATGAATTTTAGCTGTCAAAATAGAATTTGAATAACATTACTTTATTGGTCTTTCAGATAAAAAATAATTTGTTTATCAACAAATATTTAGACCCATGAAATAGGATTTTTATTATAGACCTGTTTAGCTTCAAAAAATTGCCCCACTAATGGTGAACTTGTACCAATTTGTATGAAAACATTAACTGGTCACTCAATTCATACGTCAAATTTTAAGAGTATCTTTATTTTTATATCTAGGCAATATTTTGGATATTCATAAAATTCTCCATTTAGCTATAACAAGTGGATTTTAACAAGTATTAAGAAGTTATAGAGAAGCTGGGCGGTGGTGGCGGCGCACGCCTTTAATCCCAGCACTCAGGAGGCAGAGGCAGGTGGATCTCTTTGAGTTTGAGGCCAGCCTGGTCTACAAAGTGAGATCCAGCAAAGGTACAAAGCTACACAGAGAAACCCTGTCTTGGGGCAAAAAAAAGAATTTATAGAGAACTTGCAAATAGAAGAAGCTGCATGGGTCTGGGCCTAATACAACTCCCAAGTGTGGATGTAGTTGGAAGTCAGTGCTAGTCTTCCACCTGGAGAACGTGGTGTGTAAAGGTGAAGGGGTCTCATCAAATGGCAAGAAAGGGAAATCTATAAATCTCTGTCTGAGTAGCTCCAAGGTTTCCAACACAATGGTGAAGGAGAGCTTTGGCAGGGCCAGAAGTTTCAAACTGACAGTGGGCTCTGAAAGGAGAAACTTCAAGGTCAGTGGGTGATTTCCATCCCAAATCTCCATAAGTAAAAAGCTACCTGTTTATTCTAATTGGCCATTCAAAAGAGTAATCTAGTTTTGCCTCCAGTCCGACAATCCCTGTAAGACCCCCTCCTGGCATCCTCTCTAACCCAGGAAAACTGTCTACACTTCACACCTCCTACTCTGGTCTGGCTGTATTCCACTATCTACTTTGTGCTTTTATTGTAGATTCATTCTTCACTTTCCCTTTGCCAGATAAAACAAAAATGCAGAATGATGAAGGGTAAATAGTCTTTTTCTTTTAAAAAGTGCTGAAAAGTGGGAAGATTTACATGGTGGAAAAATGAGTGAGGATAAAGGACATGACTGAAGAGGGATGGTGTTTGTCCAGTTTTAATGGAAAGCCCTTCTCCTCTGCCAGTTTTATTGCCATAGGAGAGACACTCTAGTAGTGGCAGGTTACTAGTATTTTAGTTTATGAATAGCAGTCCCCAAGAACTCCAATAACAAATCTTGGATCATTTCTCTTATGTGCTAATGATATTATCACTCCCAAGCCATTAGATATGATTTTTTGCACATCTGTTTCTGAAAAGAAAATGTCTGTCTACACGTCATGTGAAAACATAATCCATAAATTACAAGGTTTGAGCTGGCTATATATTTCACAGTCTGGGCTGTACCTGCCTCCATTTGAATTTTTCTCTTTTATGAAGATAGATAGTAGCCTATCATTGTATTACTAATGTTGACTATTTCTTTGTTTTGATAGTCTTTGCCTAGATTGAACTTAAAGTTTTGGGTTATTTCTGAATCAGTAAGTCATATATTTGGATAAAAGTCAAACTTTAATCTTAACTTTGCAGTATATTTTATACATGTTAAATTATATCTTAAAAAGCCTTCACCAATTTAAGGCTTTCCTGCTACTCATATACATAGTAACATTTGAAGGACCATCACTGTTAGCTGTTCTCCAACAATTAAAGTCGTTACCTATAATTCATGTTGTCTTTCCTCATCATCTGGTAAATACAAATGCATCTGTTTCTTTTATGGTCAAGAACTCTCTTCTTGAGGAAATATATGCAGTGCTTGGCAAGGGAAGCCAAGCCTATGGATGCTGTAAATATGCCATATTGTCTACAAGTAAGTGTGTGGAGCACTAGCTTCATGGATATCCTGTGCTAAAACAATGCTTTATAATGATACCTCCTGAGGTCTGATACAGATCTATCTACTTGGGGGTGGAGTATATAATTCTGACTTGGGTGAGATAATAACAGCATTGTTATCTAGAAAAGTTTAAGACTTAGAATGGAACTGTCAATTGGAATAACTTTCAAAGTTGAAAGATAGTAGGGATGCTGAAGAACAAGCCCAGACATACCCCTTCCTGAGCCCCTGTCTATGTCTCCTCAGTCTTATTCCAAAGACTCACTGACTTTAGATAGGTGTCCTTTCTACCTCTACTTAAGCAAGATATGAAATTGGTCTTCTGTTTCCACTCATATCACCTGTCAATCTGTTTTTCGTGGTCTCTCCAGAGCAAACTTTTAAGAAGAAATCTTAGCTCTCTCTATTTCCGATTCAAAACTGCATGATAACTAGCCTCTGCCTACCAAACTGCACTCCAGATTCACCCTGTGTCATACTTGTACCTAGCAGTCGATGGTCCTCAATAAGCCACAGAGCTGTCAGAACCCATGCAACATCCTGTTTCCTCTTCCAGGGGCACTTGGCATTGTGCCTCCTTCCATTTTAGTTTGATTGGCTTTTGCTTGTTTTTCAAGCATCATTTTTGTCCCTAGCAACTTTCTCTTATGTTGCCATCACCATAAGAAGTTATGCTACTCCTCTCTTTTCTGAGATCTCTGAGGCTTTTACCTTACAAAACTGATATTATCAACTAACAGAGCTCCTCAACAGGGTCATCCCTTCTGTGAAGTCAGTAAAATCTGGTGTAGCATTAATTTTCAAAAAAGTTTGGAAGTTCATTGGCATACTTGTTGTCTGGTAAGATTTGAAAGCTTTGAGAGTCCTAGACTATGGTCAGAATTGTGATGACGGTAAGGGTAGTGGTAGTGGGTACCTACATCTGAAGGTCATGCTGGTGAAAGAATGGATGGACAGACTGACTCTTCTTTTACACATTAGAGCTGGAAAGGACAAAGTCTTAGTAAGAGTCACACAAGATAAAAACGACTAAAACCTGGACCCAAGGCTGTGATCTTACTTTGCTGTTCAGTGTAGATCTGCCTTCTGCTCTCAAGCAATACTTTTTTTTAAAATAAGAAAACTCTTGGCATGCCAAATTCCCTCTTTGTTGGTGAGCCCACAGAGAGAGTTTGAAACTGCACAGTCTTGTCAGAGTCTAGAAAGAGTCTTTGAGACCACTCAACAACTAACAATTAAAAATATAAATAAATAAATAAATAAAATAAAACAAGTCTTAGTGGCTGTAAAAACTTTGCCTCTGCTCTAGGATATTTCTCCAATTGACATTTCTACAAGAAACGATCCGCTTTTCCTCACATTCTTCTTATGTGCCAAAAAAGCAAAAAGGAAGAGAAAAAAGAAAGAAAGAGAGAGAGAGAAAGAAAGAAAGAAAGGAGGAAAGAAGAAAGATCAATATGACATATGGACGAATTCCAACATCAGCCAGTGCATATATTAAAGTTTTAAATCAATTATTGTTCTAGTACACACCCTGGGGTTGAGAACGAAAGAACATCCAGGACTAACAAACCTGATTGTTCTGGCAAAGATGCCGTTCAATTCATGATGGCATCTCTAGGTTTTCTTTTTCTTTGGTATTCCAACTTCATTTTTAAAAAGCAAGCTGGTTCAAGTAGCGACTTTTAACATTGCTGTTTCATTCATTTTTCTCCAGAAGACTTCTACCTGGGTCTCTTTAGGCTTTCCCAAAGGGCACGATGCCTAGGGTTTGCTTTTTAATTGTAGGGACATCTGTCAGTCTGTGAGCAAGCCCGTTAGAGCATGGATTATTCCTTGCTCTATTGCTTTCCAAGCAAGGCAGAGATCTTGGCTTCGGAACATGAGTACTTCACAACTTGGCATCCCTAGATTCTCCCCAAAAGGACTTAATCACAGCAGTTCAGAAACCAAATTACAACTGAATAGCAAAAGGACTTGAACCTGTAATCATACTGTGATTACTGTTGATCTAACTAAAATTCCTACAAAACATGTGCATGTTTTTTTTTTTTTCTAGGCAAGTACTGGAAGTCGATCAAGATGGTGGCTTTTACGAGAGGCTGTACTCTGCCTGGTTCTCAACTGCAAGAGGAGTCAGAGACCGTTTCTGCACTAGCCTCTCTGACAGTAGATGTGGAACAGCCATTTGCTCAGGAAGATGGCAGGTATGGATGGACCCAGTATGGGGGAATCATGTGTTCAGTAATGTCCAGACTCATGAGCTGGCATTCTGGAACTTTCTTCCTGCTTCTTCTTCACCTGTCTCTTCTACTTCCTCCACCTGTTTTCTCCAAAGCCACAGATGGCAGAGTATATGCTTATAGGCTGTGGAGAACTCAATTGTTCCATTCTTCCTGGGAAAAGCAGGTCTGGAGCACAGAGCTCACAGGGAAAGAGAGAGTGTGAGATAGGTGGTGAGAAGAATCACTCCTTGCTGGGTAATTCAGTGCCGATCACTGTGGAAAGAGCTGCTCGGGGACTTAACTTCTTCCCCTCCTTATCTCTGTTTTCCCGGATGCTCTCTTTCTTCCTCTCATCATTTGAAATTTCTGATATAACAAAGGGAGCAGAGGAAGGTGAAGCTGCATGGGATGCTGGTCAGGGGCCAGCAATTGCATACATACGTGAGTCTCCTTGGGTCTAAATGGATAAAGACGGAAGGTACTTGCCAAGGAGACAGGAGTGTGCATGAAAGAGTAGGAGAAATGAGCCTGATTTTATTTTCTATTACACGAGAAAAGTGTTCTCATTTCTCTTCATATGTATCTAGACTGGGGTGGGGCGGGTCACGCTAGCCTCAGGTTATGCTTGCTTGTTTACCCTTTAAGAAACCGTTGTCAGTTTGTACATTTTCCTGCTCATTTTCTCATCCTGATGAAAACACTACATTCAATATGTCTTTACAGTCCACTGTGACCGGCTCTACTGGTGCTTTCCATAGCAGACTGCAAGGTCACATCTCTCTGGGCATATGTCACTCAAGACTCGGCAGAAGCTCTGGGTCTTGCTTCTGAGAAGGAGCTTCCACTCCCTGCATCAGTAACATCAGTACTAATTACACAGAGCCTGCCACTTGCCAAACACGAGAATGTGAGCGGTTCTGGCTTTCTTGCCTTAGCTGGATACTCCCAATTTAATGGATTTAACATCTTGTTTGGGCCCAAATAGTTGATAAACTGAATAAGAGATTTCATCTTTCTGCCTCTGTTTTCTCTTGCTCTAACCAGTTTAGGAGAAAATTATCAATGGGGAGAGCACATGTGTGTTACTGAATTAGAAGACATTTTCTTGCAGTATCTGGAGAAAAGGGGAAAACGTATTTTACATCTTTGATATTATGAACTAGCCCCCTGCTGTTCCCAGCTAAGAACTGAACCAAGTTCATAATCCAAAGGTGTTGCAATTATTCCCAAGGCCAAAACCAGTTAGCTGTCTGTCATCTGAGGGCCATAAAACTGAGGAAACTAACATCTGTTAGTGTTGGATATAAAAGAGCAAAGCTATTCTTTAGAATCCATTTAATACAGAAAAATGAGGCGAATTCCACCCTGGGTGAAGTGAATTCTAAGTAATTCTGCCCATGAAATTTCAGAGCTTGGAATAATTAACAATAATATGAGATGTTGTGAACCCCAACCAATATAAAAATCTCGGCCCTTTGGCAGGAACTGCCTCTACAATCGTATTTGCTTATTCTGTGGTAAATCATGTGCTTGGCTCCTGATAATCTGTAAGAATTAACCCAGCTTCAGTTCTCAGTGACTCTAATCTTCCACTCATGGCATGTAGGGAATGTGAATAGCAGTGTCTTGATGAACAGGAAGGCAGAGTGGAAGCCTGGTTTCATGTCTGTTTATCCTTTTTAGACAGATTATACCAATTGTGATTGTTTCATTCTTGAGGGGAAGAAAATGGTTTGACTTGAATTATTTTCTGTTTTTTTTAATTTCCTTCAACAAAAGGGCAGACAAAAATCTTCTAGAAACAGATCCTGTGTTTCAGTTAAACTGTGTATGACTTTCATGAAAGGGATGATAGAGCATGGATGGGTGGGGGTGGGGGTAGAGAGAAAGCAAGAGATTGACCCAGGGGTTGCTATCAGAATTGTCCCCCTGCACAGCAGGCGAAGATAAAGGCAAGGCCCCTGGGCCTTTGTTGTGAATGCAATATTGTAATCACACAGGAAATTGAAAAATTAGAAAAAAATCAGAGTTAAATGGATGGAAAGAGCAAAAGCAAATTCTTTTTATAGGAAATTCTTGCCAGTTATTTTGGAGGATATATTGGTGTTTGGAGTGAGATGACTCATTTCATACTCAGATTCTGGGTAAGGCAGCCCTTTTCTTGGCCAACTCATATCTGACTCATTTACCACTAGTGAATAAGGGATAAAATGCTCCTGGCTAAGAACCATTTTAAGTATTTTCTGTTGGTTTTCTTGAATGGGGGTGGGGTAACAGCCATTTCATTTTTATGACCACACTGACGGGCCTTGAAGAACACAGTGCTAGGGAACTCATGCTAGGGATCGTTCCCAAATACACCGCAGTCACGTGTAAGTTTTCGGTGGCAAAGGACTTAAATGGGAGGGAGTGACAGCAGAAAGGGGAAACAAGCCCTCGAGCATGCCCACATAAGGGAGTCAGAGAAAACTAAGAGATTAGACTTGGTTATATACAGTGGATTGTTTAGAGGCAGGCAGAAGTGTTTGTTTCTATCTTGTTTGCTAGGACAGCATTCCTGGAAGATTTGTGCTGTGCGTTTGTAGCTGTTTGTGCCTCTGAGCTTCCACTTTGGGAAAGTTGGTAGCAGATTTCAATTTCCTCCTAGAGGAAAGGCCAGTCTGCCCCCGTGACTTCAGGGTGACCAGCCATTAAGGATTAGGAGCACATTGGCACTCCAGACTTCTTCTCTGAGTCCTTTCCTTTTTCAGTAGGAAACAAAAAGTGAAAGTTAAATGTTCACATATCAGTCTGAGCTGTCTACAGAACGGCGAATCATGTTTGATTATCTGAATACATCTCTTATGTCCTTAATCATTTAATTTTTTGACTTTTGGTGTCTTTTCTCACAAAAGAGGTAGTTTGAAGCCTTTGTATCATCTTTAAAGCCTGCAGAAAGGTTTGCTTCAGAGGCTTGGAGTTTGTGGAATAGCTACCTTTTTGGGAAGATAAGGTATCATAAGCAGAGAGCTCACTAAAATCTCAGGTCTTCATTTTGAATAGCTTATCCACAGAGCCTAAGGACCTTGGTACTGTTTTTCTGAATATAGTGACTTGTATAAAAGCATATGCCATTTTAATGCATGTTCATATCTATCACACAAAGAGACATAGTTGTTCAAATTTCCTGGACATTGAGAGTATGTGTCTATGGCTGCTGGGAATTGACGTACAAATTGTGCAACTCTCTGGTGTTACTCTGTGCAGCATTGTTTTAAGTACCGGTTTATCTAAGTAGGCTAACATTCCAAAAAATAATTTCACTTTTAGTTTTCTCTCGGTGTCAACAAAGCACTAGCTGAGAAGCTGGCTCAGATGTGAAAAGGGGAAAGGTCCTTGCACATGTCCTTCTGCCTCTCATCTTCTTGGAACACCTATGTTGTGTGTTTTCAGTACATAATACAATCTCAGAGCAGGGGTAAAATCTGACCTGATACATTCAATGATCCTGTAGGGGCCTGTCTACATTCTTTATAAAATAACATTTAATTTATTGAAAGGTAACAAAATTAAATAGAACTCTGAGGAGACTGGGATGCCTCGAGAGCTTAGTGTCCCATTTCTTCTTCCTGCTCATTCTGGTCCTCACTGCTCTGGGAAGAAAGACTTGGCTCTAGGAGAGGGTGGCTGATTCTTATGAACATGAGATTAAAGAACATATGTGAAGAACACAGACCAATACCTGATACGTAGGAAGTTCCCAATATGGGTTGCATCAGACTATTCCCTTCAGCTTTATGTTATTCTACTGTACTTCTTCTTCCCCTAAGAAGTTGTTCATGATCCAGTGACCTGTAAGAATATAGGGACAATACCTAGACATCTGTGCATTCTATATAATACTCTACTATTCTTGGTTAAAAACTAGGAGATCAACACTGTATAACCACTTAGTAGTAAGTTGACTTTATTACATATTGTGTAGTTAGCTAACCCATCTCCAAAAGCATACAAATATTATATATTTTTTGTAATTTCCTGAATAAGCAAAAGAGTATTTTTGGAAGACAAACACTTTTAAAATACTAAAGCATTTCATAGTGGTACCTGGATGATACTGGTCTCTCTATTTGCTATGACTTCAAAGGAAATAAACAATGCACTTTTTCTTGGTATAAATTGTCAATCCCCATTTTGAGAGCATGTTGGCTAGCCCAACTCTGTATTAGTCTTACATCGTAAAGATGGTTTAGCTAAGAAAATATAGTAGGGATAGTGTATGAAATGTCTTTGTGAATGGAGAGTTAGAGTAATTCAAGAGTCATATTTAATGGAACTGCATTTAAGGGCAAAGGGGGAAATGGAAGTTGAGCAGGTAGTTACAGGACTGCCGTCTGATGTGCAGAATGAGCAGGAGGAATGTCACGTCCATTCAATCCTTGGACACTTTTGATTTATTTCCCACATGCCTAACAAAGTGCTCACAGCCAAGGTCACCAACTTACTTTGCAGTCTTCTACTGCTTCTATTAAAAAAAATATGTTAAAAATTAACTACTTACACCAAGATGGAGATTCTGTAGGTCCAATCCTGGTGCAGGTTTCACACTCAGCCCATGTCGATAGGCTTCCTTCCTTTTTGGATGTTCCAGGGAGGAATCTGTCCCCTTTCCCCGTTGTCTGGCAGCTCAGGGCTTCATCCTCTGTCTTGAGAGCTGGTAGCAGGTCATATCTCCTTTACATTTCTTCAGTCACCACAGTCCTTCTGACTGAAATTAAACAAGAATTTCTGTTGGAAAAGGCTTACGTGAGTGACATTCAAGATAGAGGCAATAACTCAGGTGTTTTTTTTTTTCCACGTCTGTACAACAAATACACATTACAACCTACTTTAATCTTTCATTCAAATATTTATAGCCCTTTCCTTATTCTCAAGTCTCTTTTCTGATCATTTTTCTATTCAGTAACCAGGAAGCCATTTAAAAAACAGAACTGTGCATGTGG